TTTTAGGGTAAGGATTTTAGAAAAAAGTATCGTCTTATAGTCGGAAAAATACGGTAATATTCTACATATACTTCATACAGTTTAAATTACTAAAGAAGTTAATGCAAATTAACGTTGCATTTAAGAACTTTTTGCTATTCTAAGTTATATAATAAAAGTTAAATTGATTCTTTATTCAAAAGTTATTTTTAAAAATATTATGTCCACACCCAGACTTGGAACGAATCTGTCCATTTTATTTGCTCTCCATGTACAGAAGAGAGTGGATCTATACCTCCATATTTGGAGATCACCTAGTATTATGGAATAATACTACAAATTACATGGTAGGTCTGTGTGAAGTCTCTTAAGAGTTCTACTGAACACCTTGGAACATCATCTACATTCTCCTTTGGGTTCTGTCCCGAGGTTCTTAAAGTTCCACTTTACACTTTGAGACTCTGTAAGTTTCACACAATATTCTGGAGTGCTCTCTTGGCTTACTCACTCATACTTCCAGGTTACATTCCTCTGTATTCTTTTAAGTAGATTTTGTGTGCGAGAACCAGACCAGAATTAACTTTTGTTTCTTTACTAAAAGTTCACATAAGGTTTACATAAAGTCAGCCATTAATGTTTCAGCTTAAAGCTCAGCCAACAGTTATGTCTTGCGAAAACCTGGCCTCTAGAAGTGAAGCGGCAGGCAAGGGGGAAAAGGCATAGGACAGAATAAGGAGGGAAGGAAAGTAAGGAAAAAGTAGAGAAAAAAAGCTGGAAATATTATTGTCTCTTTTTGCCCATGGTTGATCTATCTAGAGATGAAATTAGATGAAATAGGAAGACATTGGTAGAAAAAAAAAGACATAGCAATATGAAGTGGCTGGATCTTTGTCCTCCCTTTCACAACATCTTCCCTCTCTTTTAAAGCTCAACACTTCTTAGAGTGCAATGCCATCTCTTCTTCCTGCAATTGATTCTTTCATCCCAATTCTAGCAGAGAATCCTTACTGTCTTGTTTTTCTAGTTTTTCTAACTACCATATAAACTCATGAAATTCTTCCGATTTCTCTCCACTTGACTCTTTGCAGTAGTTAAGAACAGCCAGAATCTGGGGTTCAAGTTGTATTAATTACCTGAAAGATAAGAGAAGAGATAGAAGATGGAAGTAGGGAGGGAGTTGAAATTATTTAGGTCAAGAAAGAGGGCGAACTGTTGAAAGCTACACTGGGTGCGATGCGAGCTCTAGTCCTGTATGTTGACTTGAAAGAAAGCCTCCAGTTTAGAAAATCTGGCTTGCACAGATATGAGCATGCTTGGGATAAAACTGGAGTTGGGTTGCATTTGTGGCATACTAGCCAAAATGTGTCAAAACTGACCAGCATCATGACATTACTGTTAGCATGGAATGCTGCATGTGACATGCACATAGATACAATCGGTAACATAATCTACTCTTTATTAGTCTTACAAAAACCATTATGTAAACTCAGTTAATAAAAGCCATAATGTGCTGGGGAAGTCAATATTTATGGGCCTATCAGATGACAACACACCAAGTTCCTTTAATCATTTTTCATTGGAAAATGAAAAGCTCTCACCATCTTTTTTGCTCTTTGCACTTGATTTCGAGTTCTGTAATGTCCTTGTATTGTGGCAACCAGAACAGGACACAGTATTCCATATGTGGTCTGACCGGAGCAGCATAGAGCAGAACTATCATTTCATGTGTGTAAACTGTCTGGAAATCAAACCAGCTCAAATCCTTTTTTGGATTTGAACCCCTTCCTCCACTTTGGCCAGAGCAGTGACCATAATGATGGCCAGGTGTCCTGTCCAGACTGTAGTTAATACAACCCCCAACTGGTGGATTCCTCTGCCTTCCCTTCCCTTCCCTTCCCTTCCCTTCCCTTCCCTTCCCTTCCCTGTCAGAAAAGCAAGCACCAATTGCAGTTGCAAGCACAAGTCGTTTGAGGACTAGTGAAAACAAACTTCTCTAAGATTCTAACCCATTGTTAAATAGGATACTCCAACTCAGTGTTCCAAATTTCTTGCATATTTATCTAGTACATCTATTCAATATTTCAATTTTTAAAAAAACCTGTAGATTTAGGAACTTCCAAAAACCTTTCCCAATAATATTAATATTTTAGGAACTTCAGGTACAGCTAGAGCACTGGGCCCAAATAGCGACATTGGAAGATGGTTTGATATGTTGCGATTCAACAATCTTATGGCATATCCACACTTACCATTTATGGTGCCCTATCCAGTGCTTGTGCTGGCTCGCCTTTAAGAAATACCTATCTGGACTGAGATGCTTTGGCAACAGCTTGCAAATTATTTAGTCCAGTCTGTAGGCTACCACATCCTCTCACTGAATAATTCCCTTTGTTCTGTACTCTTACCTTTTCATACCAGGAAAGCAATGGCCAATCGCTTTCTTCCATGAATCTTCCTGGAGATATATACTTGTGTTACAAGAGGTTTGTCCTCTTCTACAGAATTAGAAATCTTTTTATGCAGCACCACAACACAATCAGTGAACGCAACCCAACAATACTAGAAAGTTTTATTTTAGCAATCTAATCATGTCACATTTACTCACTTACTCATTTAGTCCATGCATACCAATGGAACCCTACTTGTCATTGGCCAACTAATAATAGGGTTTAGAGCGCTCTCTTAGTTGGTCTCCAATAGAATGGAAGATGGGTCTTCAAACTTCTCTTCCATCCAGCTTTTTTTAAATGGGCAATGCTGGATTACTGGGCTTCCTCAGTGTCATTCATCAGTTTTTAGTGGTTTTTCATTTAGCAATTTTGTTCATCGTCAAGGTATTGATTGAATTATTTATTGTGGACAAAGTACAAACATAAAATAGCCCCTCCAGATTAAAAAAATGTCCAGATGTAATATAATACATAATAAAACAGACAATGATGTAAAAGGGTATCTTTGTTATGACCTCAAGGCCAGGCTCTAAGACGCTTATGGAATTGGTCCCACCAGGTGTTGTGCCCACAGATTCAGCAATCGTAGACCCTTCCTCTGCCAACACTGATGCCTCCTCAGGTCTCTCCTCAGGCAGCACCAATCCCTCTTTGGCCAACATGGGTGCCAAGAAGCGGGGAAGACCTCCCCCCCACCTGAGAATCCGGCACCCCATCAAAGTAAACTCATGGCAAGTCACTGACTCTGCAAGCAAGCCTGGCACCTAAGCATTGGCAACTGCTGAACAAGGAAAGCTTCAGCTGTAGGGAGAGGATTTAAACTGCCCAGGGATTGGGCTACCTCCTGTTGCTGGAAGCAACTTCGGCATCTGGCTTTGTATTTCATGTTTTATTGTTCCTGACTCTTGCTGTGTTTTCAGACTTGGCATGTTCTTGACCAAGTCTTTGGCTCTTTCCTCAGCACTTTTCAAGACATTGTGTGTTTTCTGATTACAGACTGGCTGACTCAGCTGATGTCAGCTCTTCAACCCCCAGTAAGCTGTTACGTGCACACATGCTCTTTGATCTACTTCCCAACTCCATTCCTGTCATCTCTCCCATCTGCCTACACTCATACTGCCCTTGTGCCTCTTCCTTGCTGCCGTTTCTCCAGTCAAGCTCTTCCAATGCCTTCAAAAGCGTCTCTACAAATGCACCACTCCATGCTCTGGAGGGAGGATGCAGGATCATCTGTATCAGCAGTCTCCTGGTGCCTCACCTCTCCTCCATACCAAGCCAGGGGTGTGTTTCCTCCCTAGCACCTCTGCAATCCTGGCATGCAATCACTTGCACCACACCTTCCTCTTGCCTGCCAATTGCATGGGTGTTTGCCCCCTCCGCAGAAGCCAGGACATGGAAACTTATACTACTAACTGAGAGATCAATTACCAATTTACTTGGTGTCTCCTCCTCCACTGTGTCTACTCTTTATATGCCTCCATGCAGAATTTTGCTACATTTTAGCTAGTAGCATGTATTCTATCTATAAATAAGCAGGTGTGAAAGAATCCATTTGGGTGCCTGTAAAATTTATTGAAAGGGTATAATAGATTTACGGCATACTTGCCTATAAAAATTCGCATTATGCCAGAACATGCCCAATTCTTTCAACAACAGCTGATCCATATAGCATCTAGAGTTATTAATAAATATGTTTCTTCTAATTTGTACAGTGGCTGTGTTCATTATTTGGCTGAGCAATTACAGCAATGTACACTTCCTTAGAAAAAGCTGGTAAACTACCAGATCATATAGTTTATTCACACTTCAACATTAAAAAAAAAATTACATTTGGATTTGTTGCTGTCATTATTATTATCATAAAAATGACATTATTTTGTTTTTTTTTATTTTCTGATATTTAGTAAAGCAAATACACTTTGTTTTTTTGTCTTCTGTTTTGCCAACTGGGACTATAACACTGAGCAGGTTGACCTTGGGCTGATCTCAGAAACTGATAGGATTACACCTCCTTGGATGGAGGACAGCTGAAAATTTCATCATTGAGAGTTAGACTGGGAAGTAAAAAAAAAAAAATCCATCCCAGAAGAAGGCAATGGCAAATCACAATGCTGGAAATGACTTGGTCTAGTCACCACAGTCTAAGCTTGACTTGAGAGCATCCTTACTTATATAAGGAAATTGTCAGACTACTGGCAGAAACAAAGTTGGTTAGCTATGTTCAATTTAGTTGGTTGAAAGTTCTTCAGCTGAACATGTCAGACATAATTTAGGGCAAAGCAGATTTGGACATCTATCTGAGAATCTCATTATCTCATTCATTCTTTTATTCTCATGTTGTGCTTTATTTCCTTCTCGCAGTTCACTACTGGCACCTGTGATGACCCCTTAATGCACAACTGTGGATTGTGTGGCAAAGGGTTTCGCTTGCAACGTATGCTCAACCGTCATATAAAGTGTCATAGTGAAGTGAAGAGACATTTGTGCACTTTCTGTGGGAAAGGCTTCAATGACACCTTTGATCTGAAAAGACATGTAAGGACACATACCGGTAAGAGCAAATGTTAATGAAAGGTGTTTGCAAGTAATACAGTGGGTTTTGAATCTCTTGCAAGTATCTGTGATATTATTAGGATAATGGTTCAGTAGCCTTATTTTTTAAAAAGAAAAAAAAAGCCTTCTGTGTTAGCCAATAAAACAGCAAGCATGGATTTCACTCCTGTGTCAGTCCTATAAGGTAGACCAGAGCAGACCAGAAACAGACATTGCATGGGCCTAAAGCTACTTTTATTAGAACAGCTATAGTAACAGAATCTTTTAAGTTTGAATGTGCGTCTCCTCCTCCCTCTCTTATATTCATGTGAAGCAGGGGGACTGTCTGAGGCATTTTCATAAACAACTTTCTTCGTCTGGGTTCAAGCAGCATTTATCTGATCATTGCTTTGGTAATAGATCTTCCCTCTGTCCTTCAAGACAATCCTCTACTCTCTGCACCCTGCTACTACTGGCTAAGACTAATTGAGGAGAAAAAGTATATTCTGTTCACATGTTCGGAAGCTAAAGGGACCATATTGTAGTTCAGGATAAACGGTTGAATTCTTGTAAATCATGCTTGTGTTATCAATGATAGTATCTAGGCACCTTGACTTCTGTTGGCTTCTTTAGTTGATTTTGGTTTTTCCAAGCACTAGACTTTTCTACAATGACTCTTATTTTAAATTCCATGTCCAAAATATTTAAACTTTCATTTTATTATTAGTGCTCCCAATGAGCAGTCTGGTTTTACTTTATCTACTATTGAATGATTTCTTCTTGCAGCCCCAGATATTTTCAGTAATTTCCAGGATTGCATTTCAAAAGCATCAATTTTCTTCTTTCCCAAGTTGGTCTTGATAATGTTGGTCAGTATGAGGCATTTACACTTTAATATTTTGTCTAGCTCTGTCATACTCATTCTCCTAAGTATCTGTTTAGTTCAAGGTTACCATCATCAATGTAAGTTGATGAACTCAGGAAGATAAAAATCTGCTACATTTTCTCTCTCTGCATTGGGTTGGCAACCAGTTTTTAAAATACTGAGCAGCAAACCAGCTTTTGCACTCTTCTTTTCACCTTCAAAAATATTTCTTAGGTCTTCTCATTTCCAATCATTGAAGTAGCATCATCAGCATCTCTCAGTCTGATTAATATTTCTTCCAGAAATTTAAAACTCCAATTTCTATTTCTTCTAGTCCAGCATCTCTCATGATATTTTCTGTATACATTTTAAATAAGGTGATAGTATACAGCATTGGTTCTCAACGGGGG